CTTTTCTTGGGTCTGCTGTGATGTGCGTGTAAGGATTCCCCTCAGACTACATGCTGAAGATTCCTTCCCTTAACACTCTTTTTTTGTAAGAATTCTCTATCTGTTTTTTGAGAATTCTAGAAAAAAAACAAATGTGTGTGCAGGGATTCCCCTCTACAGACTAAATGCTGAAGATTCCCTTTTGAGTTGTCTCAAAACAAGATTTCCTTTTGAGTCGGCTCAAAACACGGAGAGTGAGGTGAAGCTCTTTCCTTGCAGTCTGCTGTGATGTGCGTGCAGGGATCTCCCTCTACAAACTAGATGCTGAAGATTCCCTTTACACTCCTGAGACGTCTCAAAAGTAAACTACATGCTTAGGATCTCTGAAAAGCTCTGTCCATTTCCTTGAATCATTTGCCTTGCCCTCTTTCCGCCTCCTCCCCCTTCCCCATTTCCTTCCCCGTTTCCTCCCTCCTGCCCACCCCCCTCCCCCTCCTTTTTTTATATCAGACCATTCGAATGGTCAATCAGCCCACAGCAGTGGCGGCTGAAATCGTCTCCTTCTCCAAGGCTTGCTGCTGTTTCCATTCCCCTCCTCTTCCCCTCCTTTCCCCCCACTTTCCCCCTTCCCCCCTTCCCCCCTTCTCACCGTTCCCCCATCCACCTCCCCCCCTCCCCCTCCTTTCTCTACATCAGACCATTCGAGTGGTCGACCAGCTCACAGAAGTCGCGGCTAAAATCATTTCTTTCTCCAAGGCATGTTTTTACCCCTCTCCCCTACTCCTACCTTTCCTTACCCCTTTCTTCCTTCCCTTCCCTCCCCTTCCCTCTCCTACCCTCACCTACCATCCCCTCCCCGTCCCTCCCCTTACCCCCCCCACTTCCTCTTTCTCCGTCTCCTCATGTCTTCCCTTTGACTCAAAAGGCACGTTACCTCCCTTCGCGACATGTTACCTCAAAAGACATGATACCTCTTTCTCTCCCATCGCGACCTCTTTCTCTCCCACCCTTCTCCCTCTGCCGTCCTTCTCAAAGTTATGCTTGCTTCTCCCCTCCCCTCGCCATATCTCCACTTCCTTCCCGTTACAACCCCAACCCCCCCACACCTTTCCTCTTTCTCCTTCCCGCTTCTCCAAGGCATGCTGCCCTTTCCCTTCCCATCCTCTTTCCTTTTATCCTTCTACTCTGTTCTTCAACTGATGCTACCATTTCCCCTCCCCTTCTCTCCCTCTTCCTCATACCCATATCAGCAATTTTAGTTGGCAGGTTGGCAGACACTTCTGGCACCAGAGTGTTTGTGAAAGTTTTGTGTGTATTTGCAATCTTGCCAGGCCTCCTTGCCAGGCCTCCTTGCCAGGCCTCGTTGCCAGGCCTCCTTGCCAGGCCTCCTTGCCAGGCCTCTCTCACTCCTCCCAGTGACCCATTCATCCACCCCACTGCCGCTGCCCTGAAAATAACTCAGCTCAGCGGATCAGAGGCTCAGTGGTGGGATGTTGGTGATATCAGGGCGTGCGTATGCAGTGGTGATATCAGGGCGTGCGTATGCAGTGGTGATATCAGGGCGTGCGTATGCAGTGGTGATATCAGGGCGTGCGTATGCAGTGGTGATATCAGGGCGTGCGTATGCAGTGGAGATATCAGTGGCTCCCCCAGCTCCTATGCTCCCAGCTGTCCCCTCTCCCCCTCTCCCTCCTTGCTATTATCCACCCCACCGCCTCATGACTCAGGATAGTGCAGTGGTGGTCTCAGTTGCTGGCACCAGCGGCATTCCCCCCACACTCACCCACTCATCGCTTCCCCTCCCTATCGTTCCCCACCACCCCACCGCCTCATAACCCAGGATAGTGCAGTGGTGGTCTCAGTTGCTGGCTCCAATGGCAGAATAGCCTTCCAGGTGCTATCTTATTGGCATGAAAGGTGCCTTTTTGTTAGCCTTCCTGCTGCGTCTTTGTAAGATGACTGCCAGGTGCTTTATATCTCGTACCTTCGTGTTTTGTTTGTGTGTGTTTTGCGTGTGTGTTTTGCGCGCGCGCGTGTGTGTGTGTGTGTGTGTGTGCGTGTGTGTGTGTGAATGTGTGTGTGTGTGTGAATGTGTGTGTGTGAATGTGTGTGTGTGTGTGTGTGTGTGTGCGCGCGCGCGCGCGCGTGTGTGTGAGCGCGCACGCACGCTTCTCCCCCCCCACCCCCCAATCTCCCTCGGCAATCGTGTTCTCGCCTCCGTTCGTTTTCTGTTGGACCTTTGAGCCTCCTTGTGTAGCACAGGGTGCGCGTTACACCTTACAATCATGAATCTGCTGCAATTCAGTCTTTTTGTGATGTGATTTAGTTGTGTTGTGTGTCCTTCTAGAGGCGAAACATACCGTCATTTGTGCTCATTCCAAACCTTTTTTGTTTGCGTTGACTTAGTATTTTGTGTGTTCAAGACCTGGCGCACAGTGTTGTAGGAGCTAGATGCAATGTACGGTATTGTAAATTCCATGGTATACACGGTACAATAATACCACACCTCATCATCAGAAAATAATCGGACCTGTGTATCCCAACCCAAATGAGGGAAATCAATGGAACCTCCAAGAATTAGCGACCCATGAGGGAGGAACAAGAGCCAAGAAGGAACAACTGCTGTACAAAAACAAATAAAGAAAGCTTAATGAGCTGGTTGCAAATGACCAGAAGAACAGTGCATGTGCACTCCCAATAGGACCAGAGGACCAGCGCATGTGCAAATGACAAGAGGACCAGAGCATGGGCACTCCCAATAAACCCCTGCTTCAACACATGGCTGCATCAAGGTCTTCCCGCGCTGCAGTGCCTCTTCATCATCTCATCCTCCCTCCACCTCCTTGAATGAATCATAGCATCCGAGCATGTGATGTGACCGCAACACAAAAGACACTAGCTTCAGCACAAAGCTGCATCAAACTCTTCCTGTGATGGCAAAACCTCTTCGTCGTCCTCCTCCTTCACAGAACATACAGCTGGGCGGCTCACACCCCCTGTCACCTGTACATTCGGTATATGAGACAAATCCTGCCACCCGCACGTCAGCTCGAGCAAATGAACCCCTTGCGCGTCCACCCCGCTGCTGCCCTCACTTGATGCATCGCTAAGAGCAGACTCGTTACGAGCTATAGCGCGCGATGATTCTAAAACAGCTCTAGGGGAGAAAGGCGGATACGAAACCACAGGTCCACTGCTGCTGCTGCCGCTGCTGTTGTAGGGAAACCCTTTCCCCCCCCTGCCACCCTTTTTAGGAGAATCTCTGGAAGATCCGTTATAAGCTGATCCGGAGCTCCTTCCTGCTTGCCCATACCCTCGGGATTTACGCGCGCTCGCTGCTCTAGCAGCAGCAAGGGCAGCCGCAGCTGCTGATGGTGATGCTGACGTGGAGCCACCTGGCGCACTGTACTGCTGCCACGTGTCACGCCCCACAGACCCCCCTGGTGGCCCATAAATAGGCCCTTCGAGCTCGGTCCGAGCCTGAGGATGTCCGAACCATGGCCTGGCGTTTGGACCAGAGCTGGGGCGGAGGTTCGGAAGCGGGAGGTTTGGAGGCGAGGGGCTCTCGAAATTTCCGAACCTATCCTGCGGCTTGAGCAGAGGTTCCCGACGCTGTACCGGGGAGGCTTGGGCTTGGGCTGATGCTACAGCAAAGGCATTGCCTATCTCTCCTGAACCTGCCGAATTCTGCAGCTGATATTCGATTTGGGCAGCTTTGAGTTGGGATTCAAGCCTTGCGGCTTGGACCAAAGCTGCGGCTTGGGCCGAGGCTGCTGCGGAGGTTTGGCCCGAGGCAGCTAGTTGCTCCAATGCTTGCAGCTGCGTTTGCAGCTCTGCTTGGGCAATTTGCCACTGAGCAAGCTGAAGGCGCTGCTGCTGCTGCTGCTGCTGCTGCTGCTGCTGCTGCTGCTCCTGATAGTCCTGCTGCTGCGACCACTGCTGCTGCAGTTGCTGCTGCTGTTCCTGTACAAGTGGAGATGGGTACCGTAATTGCTGCTGCTGCTGCTCCGGCCGCGGCTGCTGCTGCCGCTGCTCCTGTACACGTGGGGATGGGTACCGTGATTGCTGCACCTGTTGCAGCTGCTGCTGTTGCTCCTGTACAAGTGGAGATGGGTACCGTAATTGCTGCTGCCGCTGCTGCTGCTGCTCCTGTACACGTGGGGATGGGTACCGTAATTGCTGCACCTGTTGCAGCAGCTGCTGCTGCTGCTGCAGCTCTTGTTGCTGTAGCTCGCTTGACTGTAAGTGCAATTGTTGCCGGAGCTGTTCCTGAAGCTGCAAAAGCGGGGCAGCTGCAACGAGCTGTTGCTGCTGTGACCACTGCTGCTGCTGTAGTTGCTGCAGCTGCTGTTGCTGCTGTTCCTGTATCTGCTGCTGTTGCTGCTGTTGTTGCTGTTGTTGCCGTTGCTGCTGCTCTTGCAGCAGCTGTAGCAATTGTTGGGAAACCGTGGACTGTAAACCCAACAACCCACGGCCAGAACTATTAGAAAATTCTGGCAACAAAGCCCCAGAGGAGCTGGCCGGTAGCACAGACGCTGACTCAGACGGCGACGTCAAAGCAGACGGAGACGGCAGACTAAACGTTCCTTCTAACGGCGCGTCTATCAGACCAGCTGATCGTACAATACCCCATGGTCCAGCTTCCTGCTGCTGCGTTTGAGGCGACTCACTAGCAGCTCGTGACTGTACAGTATCCCATGGTTTCAGAGCGTGCTGCTGCTGCGGCAAACTCTTGACCCACGCAGACCCACCTAGTACCCCTTCCGGCCCTCCTACCGAACCCGTAGCTCGTTTCTCGTTATCATCCCGCTGCCCCGTTATAAGTGGTCTTGTATCGGGTATTTTCGAACACGGAGCTTGCAATGGGTTGGGGCTACGGGTTAACGGCGGCCAGTAGGGAGGGGATTGAGGCGAAGGAGGGGAGCGGGGCATTGGCGGGGACGAGAAGCCCGGAACTGCAGCTTGAAAATATGATGACTTTTGAGGCGCCTCAAAATGCGGAGACGGAGGGGAGCGGGACATCAGAGGAGGCATGAAGCCCGGAACTGCAGCTTGGGAATATGTCGCGAGTCGAGGGGAAGGGGACGCAGCTTGAGAATATGATGCGACTCGAGGAGAAGGGGACGCAGCTTGAGAATAGGATGCGACTCGAGGAGAAGGGGACGCAGCTTGAGAATATGATGCGACTCGAGGAGACGGGGACGCAGCTTGAGAATATGATGCGACTCGAGGAGACGGGGACGCGGATGATGACTGGGGAGTAGGCGGCGAGCAAGAGAAACTACTGGGGTCTGTGAGGCCTGTACTCGCAGTTCGTGAGAACGAATGTTGAGAAGCCTGATACGATTGGGGAGTAGGTGGTGAGCAAGAGAAACTACTGGGTTCTGTGAGGCCTGTACTCGCGGTTTGCGCGTAAGAGAAACGCGGAGACGGAGGCGGCGGGAAACGCGGCGATGGCGACGGCGGGAAACGCGGCGATGGCGACGGCGGGAAACGCGGCGATGGTGACGGCTGGAAACGGGACGAAGGAAACGGCGGGAGGGGAGAAAGGCCTGAAGAAACGGGAAGGTTAAAGCAAGGAAAAAAAGGAGAGGGTTCTAAAGAGGTACGTTTGGAAAGGCAGCACTACTCCTAGGTGCTGGCTTGGAAGTCTTGCTAGCGGAAGCAACTAATTAATCACGTGCGACGGCTTGGACGGTTCCTAAGTCCGAAGTTGCAGTAACGGAAGCTCGTTGACAAAATCCTCTTTCAAAACTCGAACGAAAAAAATCCCACGGAAAAACGTGAGGTATAAATACGCGTCAGACCGTCACCTTCATCTTGCAAAGATATCTGAGGCACGTCTGCAAACGGCGGAAAATCAGCTTGCGCTTTCCACGCTCCCCGTGCCGCGACGCGCGATGACATATCACCCATCAACGTAAGCATAATCCTTCAGTAGAATCACACACAAGCAGTACATACTCCAACTTTAACGTCACAGGCCTACGGTTCGCTGCTGGACTAGCTCGCTGTTTCTTCTAGCTATCTTCCTGGTCGGTGGGATGAAGGAAACGCGAGTGCAGCTAGAACAATCGGCACACGCAACTGAGATGGTGGAAACGTTTGTGCTTGGATCTTGCTTCTGCTCTCGACTTTTCGATTCGGTCGCTTGTGTCTCCCTGGTCGCAGTTTCTGGAAAGCGGTCGCGAGAACTTCGAGGAGCAAGCAGAGTTCGATGTGATGGAGATGAACTGAATGGAAGCGGGAGACATTTCGGCAAGCGTGGAGTATTTCCTCGGGCAGAATTGTGATTGTTCGGCGAGAGCTGCGGGTAGGTATGAAGCTCGATCGAGACTGGTTGAACTTCATCAAAGTCAGATTTGGCGGTTTGCCGTTCGGTGCGGCAAGTTCGGGCAGCGCGAGAAGTGACAAGGAATCGAGTCAGCGTGATGTCGGGCAGGCGTAGAACAAGCCCTGCGCAGGGATCGGGCAGGGATGGACCAACCAACATTTTCATCAAGCACCGACTGTGGCTGGTTATTCTGCAGAACAAAACAACTTTCGCGAAACACTTCGAAAGACCGAAGTGCAGTACAGTTGTAGGATCAATTTCGTGGAACGCCAGCGTGCAGTTGCGACAACCGGCCACGTCGACGGACAAATGACACCTTGTTTGGTACCTGTAGGCAAGGGCTGTCTGCGTAAAGTGAAGGTAGCCGCTGGCGCTGGTAAAGGCAGCAGCTGACTGAAGTCATCGTCATGACCTACACAAGACACGTCACTCGCTTTCCACCTCGATAAGTGAACTCCAAAAAACGGTTTGTTAAAGCGTTACACCAGACTTCACACAACAAAAACAGCGGTGAGTAACAATGACTAACCAAGTTGCACCTGCCAGTAATTACACCACCAGCACGAACTACAGTTTGTAAACAATGAAATTATAATATTACTGAAGACTGAACACTTATTTCAGCACAAACCAGTGATGGTAACAGCTTTCATACCTAAAGCCAGCCATCCATGATGCATGAATGATTTCAAACAACCCATCCATGATGCATGAATGATTTCAAACATCTTCAAGCAGCTACCTGCAAACATGAGGGCCAAGCACAGAAGACTAAGCACACGGAACAATTGGAAGCTCAAACGCCCTAAACGCGAAGAGACAGGGAGATTGTATGTGGGAAAAGGATGGCCACCCTTCAGTTAAGCACACCTGATGCCGAAGCATCAAGGGCATTAGAGACATTCGACACGGCATCAATTCCGTCCGCCCGTCTCAGGGTAACATCCTCAGGGGGCCAGCAGAAACAGCTCAAGAGAACATGTACGAGCTCCAGGGAGTAAGAAGTCACACCTTCAAGTATTCTTCGCAGGGGACAACCGGCCTGCAATCTTGTCAAGCGTTGTTGACGCAGGACTGTGACTCAGCTCCAGCACAAGTAAATTCCAGAGACTCTCGGCGGTCCAACCGGATAGCCAGGGCATGTTACACATCAGGAGAACCAGGCCGGCCGTCACTCCAACAGGCGCTAGACCGGAAGATGTCGGACGACGGAAAACCTCATTCAAGGTTCCGAACACCTGCGACTGCAAAGGAAAAAGGGGTAAATTAACAACGAACCCAAGACATCAAGTAAAATACCTATGATTTATCCCAAGAGAAATATGTGCAAGTTCATTTGACGGAAGGGCAACAGAGTGCCTCCACCGCTGGTAAGACAGCACGTAGCCAGAAGGCACGATGATCTGGCATCGGTGTGTGGTGACTTGGCCACAATCACCGCACTCCAGCTACCCCTACCCCTCCGAAGAAGGGAAGGTGAGCGGAGAGCGACGCTGACATAGTCACCGATTGTCCGATGCGTACTACAAGTATTTTGTAAGAAATGCCAGCAGACGGAACAGAGAACAACGGACGGGAGTCCTGGAACATGGGTAAGATTCACGAGTGGCACACCTGTCGAATAACCGATCCAAGCAGAGCATGTAAGACGATTGGGTGGCATAGGCTGGTGTAAGCCACTCGCCAGATTGAATTCATCCGACTCCGGCCTGCCGACACCTGCGGCTAGAATGCGGGAACCGCATATAGCTGACTCATCGATTCAACGTGGCGTTCCGCATCCTCGAGTATGCTTTTGAGCTGCAGGGAATGTTGGAAGCTCATGCCTGAAGCTCATGACCGCGTGCTTCACTCCCTAGAGGGTTTCCCATTGCTGAATGCCACGATTAACTTGAGAGTCGACGCGAGAGCCGCATCTCACACGCTGTACCCCCATAGTTCAAAGCTTTTGGACAGGGACGGCGAATAAGTTGAGGAGATGCCATGGAGAAGGAGCTATGCAAAACCTGGGAGGGGGGAACATGAATGGGTTTCAGCTGAGCTATTATGGTTGGTTATCGCTACTTGGATGAATCGTGGAGTGAGGGTTTGAACCTTCGGGAGAGGGAAATCGTAAAACCCCCAAAGCCTCTTATGAAGGGGAAAGAAATGCCATCGATCGCCCCGTCTCAACGGTGATGAAGCCGTCGATCCCGTTGAGGCTCCGCCATTGAGAGTGTTTGTGGCTGGTGGTTTCCCGCGCACTGGGGGCGAAAATGGAGGGTGGGGGTGGAGATGACACACAAGCAAAAGTGACGACAGGTGGCGAGAAGTGTTACCACATTGCGCGAAGTCGCAACTTGGAGGGCAAATACCAGTGATAAGGACACATCAGGTGGTGTAGAAGCTCATTTACATACAATTATTTCTCTCACATCTTCCCATGTCTACTTTAATGTTGACATCCTTTGAAAAAACTCATTTCCAGGCTAATTCATATATACAATTACATTAGAGCGAACAGAGAGTCAAGGTCCTTCTTAAAAAAAGGTAACTATTCGCAAACAAATGCGCGTAATCAGCCTATGCTAGGTTTTCATCTTTAAAGCATCAGCGACTAGCATTCGCACTCCTATTACTCAGTGCTGCGTCTCTAGCGCTCTCTTCATCACCAAAGCACCCAGCTGCCAGCAGAATCGCAGTGGGCACTATTCTCTCCATCTTCGCCCCAACCCTCACCATCTCCTCAACTGTTCTTCCCATGCTATCCCCCTCATCATCCCCTACCTCTCCCTTCACCCTCCCCTCCCTCCTCTCCCTCCCCTCCATCCTCTCCCTCCCCTCCATCCCTTCTTCCCTTTCAGCAATAACTATCGCCCTCCTCACACATCTCTCCGCCTCCTCCTCCCCTACCCCGGCCAGCTCCCCCACCACCCTCACCGCTCTCTTAAAGAGCTTCTCGTTACTCACTCTAAGGTCCACCATGCGATTACTGTACACCTTGCCTAGAAGCACATGCGCTCCGCTACTAGCAACATTAAGTGCTAATTTCACTGCCAGTTGTGCAAAGAGGTCGGTGCGGGGGAGGAGAGGAGCGGCAGAGGGAGCAGGGAGAGAAATGGTGACGTGGAGGAAGGTGGGACTGAGGGCTTGCGGGGAAGAAGAAGAGGAGAAATAGGAAGACATGAGGGAGGAGGTGGAGGACGCGGAGGAGGAGGATAGAGAGGAGGGGAAGGAGGAGAAAGGGAGGTCTGAGAAGTGAGCAGATGCGGAGCCCGTAGGCTTGGGTTTCAGGTTCCTGATTCCTGTGCCACCTGCTGCTTCTTCCGACTCTGCATCAACTCCTGCGTCCGCTTTTGCTTCAGCTGGCGCATCTGTTGCTGCTGCTACAGCTGCAGTGTTGGCTTCAGCTTCAGCTTCAGCTGCTGCTGCTTCTGCTACAGCCCCTGCTGCTGCAACACCAACTGGCTTCTGAGTTGACTCAGAAGCTTGTCCTGTGGCGCTGCTGTGAAGAAGATGCTCCGTTTCATCCCCCTCCACTGACTCCCACTCACTCCCCTCCTCACTCCCCTCCTCGCCCTCCTCCCCATCCTCCCCCCCAGATGTACCCTCTCTCTCATCCTCTCTTGACTCCCTCCCCACCAGCACCCCCGAATCACTGCTTCCACCTTCCTCCTCTTCGTCCTCCTCCCCTCCCTCCTCCCCTTCCTCCTCCGCTCCCCCCTTCCTTCCCTCCTTCCCTTCCTCCCCTTGCCCTTCTGCTCCACCCTCCTCTTGCTCAACCTCCCCTTCCTCCTCTCCCTCCTCATCCTCCTCGTTTTCCTCCCCCCGCTCCTCCTCCTCACTCTCTCCCACCTCACTCTCTTCCCCTTCACTCTCGTCCTCCCGCTCCTCCCCCTCCTCCATCCCATCCTCATCATCATAAACCATTAAAAGCCGGTCGTGAGGAGCCACACCGACACTTAGCAAAGCGAGGGACAGCAGCCCCTGCTTAGCTCGTGAGTGGAGGGCGGTGAGGAGCGGTAGAGGGAACAGCTGTGGCTGTAGCACGTGTGATTCTAGCAGAAGTACAGTGTCGTTGGCACTGGAGGGTTTGGAAAAAGCAGGTGAGGTTGGGAAAGGGCAGGGAAACGCAAACACACACACACACACACACACGCACGCACGCACGCACGCACGCACGCACGCACGCACGCACGCACGCACGCACGCACGCACGCGCGCGCACACACACACACACAAAACAGGGAGGAATGAAATCAACAAAAAGGAAGAGGTTGAGAGAGACTCGTTGAGAAAGCAGTATCCACTAATATTCATTGTAATGCTTCAGGCGTGGAATGGTGAGAGGCCTGGAGGGGCGAGTAATGGAGAAAGAAAGTGCTACTCAGCATACTGCACTGGATGCTGCAGGTTTTTGGACCTGCCCCACTGGGTGGTGGGGAGAACAACTTTTGAGTCGACTCAAAAGTCAGCTTTCGACCGACCCCACTGGGTGGTGGGGAGGATTTCGTGCAGAAAGCAGTCCGTGCTGATGGCCTCTAATGACTCTGGCATGGGCTGGCGAGAAGGTGAGTGCGACAGAATGAAACAAGTGACCAGTGGAAGGTGGGAGACAGGCTTGCTGGGTTGAAATAGCTTTTGAGAATTTTCAGAAGCGAGTTCAACATGGGAGATAGGTCTGCTGGGCCTTGCTCACCGTGTGGTGGGGAGGACGTTGCGCAGAAAGCAGTCTGTGCTGAATGCCTTAAGAGGCTCTGGCGTGGAATGGCTAGAGGGCAGCAGGCCCAGGCGGGTGGGCAAAGGGGCACCGAGGATTCTGGGCACACATAGCAGTTAGCTTGCTACTGGGCCTTGCTCACCGTGTGGTGGGGAGGACGTCGCGCAGAAAGCAGTCTGTGCTGAATGCCTTCAGAGGCTCTGGCGTCGATTGACGAGAGGGTGAGTGGGATGAGGCGCATTGGGCAAACAGGCTAGTGCGATAGTGGCGATAGTGCGAGGCTAGGCTAGCTCACCGTGTGGTGGGAAGGACTTGGTCGAGAAAGTGGTCTGTGCTGATGGCCCTCAGAGGTTCTGGCGTGGATTGGAGAGAGCATGAGTGGGACGAGGCTTATTGGGCAAACATAGTGCGAGGCTAGCTCACCGTGTGGTGGGAAGGACTTGGTCGAGAAAGTGGTCTGTGCTGATGGCCCTCAGAGGCTCTGGTGTGGATTGGCGAAAGGGTGAGTGGGATGCAGAAGCAGCAGAAGCAGCAGCCCTGAAGGGAAAGAACCAAGATCTAGTGCTGCTGCTCCTGCTAGTGCTCGCTTTGCTGCCCCTGCTGCTTCTCTGTCTTGTTGCTGCATCTGCTACCCGAGACCTGCTGCTGCTTTTCTCGTTTTGACCTTCCCTCGCCCCTGCCTTGCTTATCCTGCTGCTCCTTCTCCTGCTGCTGCTCCTGCTTTTGCTGTTGATGCTGCTGCTACTAGGAGCAGATGAACCCAAGGGATCGACTGTGTGCTGATTCAACGGACGAATCAGGCGGTGCCACGTGGAGGTGAGGAAGCCTTGGAAGGAGCCTGGGCGCGCTCCAAAGGTGGGCACCTGTTCGGAGGCGTCTGTAAGTGAATGAGGGGATGAGAGGAGGAAGAGAGGAGGAGGGAGGAGGAAGAGAGGACGAAGAGAGGAGGAAGAGAGGAGGAGGGAGGAGGAAGAGAGGACGAAGAGAGGGGGGGGGAGGAGGATAAGGAGTGGAGGTGAGGAAGCCTTGCAAGGAAGCCTTGCAAGGGAGCCTTGGAAGGACAAGGAGTGGAACGTGGGCACTTGTCCGGAGGCGTGTGTAAGGGAAAAAGAAAGAAATGGGGAGATGCGAGGGAGGAAAATTCTAGGCTTGGAAGGAGCCTGGGCGCGCTCCAAAGGTGGGCACCTGTTCTGAGGCGTCTGCGTGGGAGGAGAGGAAAAACGAGAGAAGAGACCAACGAGGCCGAGCGAGTCGTCCCCGTTATACATGACACCATTATAATACATGACCCCATTATAATACATGACCCGACCGCCAGTGCTGCTGAAGCGAGTATGGCAGCACATCCCTCTAGATGCTAAAAGACACGCTTTTGATAAATCTCTCTTTCTCACCTATAAGGCCAACGAGGCTGAGTGATTCATCCCCAATGTAAATGACCCTGCCGCCAGTGCTGATAGAGTGACTGTGTGACGGCACATTACTCTAGATTCCACAACGCACGCCTCACTATCCCTCTCTCTCTCACTCACCGATAAGGCCGACGAGGCCAAGCGAGTCAACCCCAATGTACATGACCCGCCCACCAGTGCTGATGGAGCGATGGAAGAGACAAGTGAGGGCCTGGTGTGAGTGGGGGGGAGACGGGAGGAATTAGTGAGGGAAATGGGGGAAGAAAATAGGGGTACCAGCCCCATCCGGCCCACCAGGCCCAGTGAGTTGTGTCCAATGTACATGACCCGCCCGCCAGTGCTGATGGCGCGATGGAAGAGACGGGTGAGGGCCTGGTGTGTGTGGGGGGGAGACGGGAGGAATTAGTGAGGGAAATGGGTGGAGACAGGGGAACCATACCAGTCCCACCCGGCCCACCAGGTGAATGGGTACCATACCAGCCCCACCAGGCCCACCAGGCCCACCAGGCCCACCAGGCCCACCAGGCCCACCAGGCCCAGTGAGTCTTAGAGGCAGCACCATTTTAGTAACTCACCGCGAGGCAACAGCACCATTTTTTACGAGGCTAAAAAAACAGTCATAAAGCTTTTAGTAGCTCACCACGATTCCGGGTAATTGCTGGTAAACACCCCTCATCGCCCCTTCGTAAGCTGCCATCACATCGCCGTACCGAGCCGCCGGGGCAGCCTCGGTTCGGCCCCAGCCTACCCGCGCCGCCCGCCGAACCGCCGTGGTGTCTTGGGGAGTGAGCTCCGGGGGAGGGTTGATGACTAGAAGGGGCACTCCCGCGTCTGATAGGTTGGGGGGGAGAATGGAATGGGGTGTAAGAAAATTGCAACATTTCTTTATAAAATGCCACACTACCTTTGGGAGTGAGCTCCGGGGGAGGGTTGATGAGTAGAAGGGGTACTCCCGCGTCTGATAGTGGGGTTGGGGACAAGGGACAAGGGGAGAGGAGGCAAGGAATGAGATGACTTTTGAGTCGACTCAAGAGGCACTCCCGCATCTGATAGTGGGGTTGGGGACAAGGGACAAGGGGAGCGGAGGCAAGGAGTGAGACTCAGGAGTGCATGATACCCTTTTTTGCCACGTGCTGTCTTCAGGAGTGAGCTCCGGGGGAGGGTTGATGAGTAGAAGAGGCACTCCCGCGTCTGATAGGGGAGAGGATAGGAAGAATGTGAGAGGAGACGAAGTTTGTTTGTTTTTTGAGGCGCCTCAAAGATAGGAGTTGGTTTTTGAGATTTCTCAAAAACCAAATAGTGGAGAGGAAGAAGGTGAGAGGAGACAAAGTTGGTTTGGCGGGGATAAGCAGGGGGGAGTGTGGCACTGGTAGGTTAGTGGGTGGGTGGGTGTGGTGTGGTGTGGTAGTACTGTGTTTTTGAGACGTCGCAAAACGTGACAATAATGTGGTTTTGAGACAAAGTTGGTTTGGCGGTGTTGAGCAGGGTGGAGTGTGGCACTTGTAGGTAAGTGGGTGGGTGGGTGTGGTGTGGATGAGCGGGCGGTGGGTGTGACTGTCAAAAGTCGTACTGACTGACCCTCTGCACTCACAGCTTCCTAGAGCAGGCAGGCGCAGCACTCGGGCAATAGGAGTGACTTTTGAGAATTCTCAAAAGTCACGGCAATAGCCCGACTGAAAATTGTCTCTAGGAGGACCTTGGTGGCAGTGCCGCTCTTAAGACTTTACTCGGACTCTCTTACAATGAGTAGACTCAACTCAAACTGACGGCAACACTCTCACTGACACTCAGGTTGATGGACATCAGACCTCCGCAGCCCACCTGTTTACTAATAACAACATCAGACCTCCGCAGCCCACCTGTTTACTAATAACAACATCAGACCTCCGCAGCCCACCTGTTTACTAATAACAACTCAAACTGACGGCAACACTCTCACTGACACTCACAGCTTCCTAGAGCAGGCAGGCGCAGCACCCTGGCGATGGCCCGACTGAAGATTGTTTCCAGAAGGACCTCGGTGGCACTGCCGCCCTTGAGCCTCAAGAACCCTAACACACTCGCTCACATGCGCCCCCACACTGACAGCTTCCTAAAGCAGGCAGGCACGTGTTTGAAGAAGTGTTTTGAGACGTCTCAAAACACGTCTTTAGCACTTGTCGCATACAGTCATTTCTTGCTGCCACGTGTTTGAAGAAGTGTTTTGAGACGTCTCAAAACGCCCCCATTCTCACAGCTGCCTAAAGCAGGCAGGCGCAGCACTCGGGCAATGGCCCGACTGAAGATGGTCTCCAGGAGGACCTTGGTGGCAGTGCCGCCCTTGAGCCTTGTAGACCCTGTGATGGTCTCCTGTGGTGTGGCATGGTGGGATGGCGATAAGGGGGTGGCATGGCAGTAAGGGGGAGGGGATGAGTGAGAAGGATCTTGGTGGCAGTGCCGCCGTTGAGCCTTGTGGACCCTGTGATGGTCTCCTGTGGTGGTTGTCGAACGCAGACAGGTGGGCTGCGGAGGCCTTACGTCCATCAACTTGTATGGTTAAAACGAACGACAAGACAAACCCCATGGAATGGATGAGTGTCCTGGTGAACTGTGAGCTTAGAGCGGTGTCTTAGAGAGCCAGTTTAAACAAATCGTCAACTTAATCCAGTAAGGGGGAGGGGATGAGTGAGAAGGATCTTGGTGGCGCTGGGTGTCGGGTCGTACTGGACCCTGTGATGGTCTCCTGTGGTGGTTGGGCACAAGGGGGAAGGTAAGGGGATACGGGTGGAGCAGGTAGGGATAGGTTCAGCTCAGCAGGAAATACTTGGTGGCGCTGCTGCCCTTGAGCCTCATGGGCCCTGTGATGGTCTCCTGTGGTGGTTGGGCACATGGGGAAGAGAGGGAAGGGATGCAAGCCGCACATCTACAGTGCGTTCAGCATGATCTTTTGATTTTTAAGGCGCCTCGAACAAGGGTGTTCAGCACGAAAGGCTTTGTTCCCTTCTTATCCTACCCCCACTCTCCCCCCCCCCCCCCCCACTCACCAGCATCGATCTGAGCCCTCATTTCTCCAGGGAAACAGGAGACAGTCACGCCTTTTCCACCCCACCTCACTTTTGAGTCGACTCAGCTGACTTTTGAGTCGACTCAAAAGTCCCCCCCCCCCCCCCCCCCCACTCACCAGCATCGATCTGAGCCCTCATTTCTCCAGGGAAACAGGGACTCAGATCGAATCACTGTTTCCCTGGAGACAGTGATCGAACACCCTTTTCCACCACACCTCACCCCTCCCCACTCTCCCCTATCCCTCCCCCGTACATACCAGGCCGACAGCAAAGGAGAGGATAAAGTGCCTTGAGGCTCCCCCCTCTGATTCAGCGTCCACTCTCAACACCTCACTCACCCCTCCCCACCCCTCCCCACCCCTCTCCACCCCTTCCCCCGTACGTACCGGGCCGACAGCAGGAGAGAAGATGAAGTGCCTTGGGACAACATCCCCCTCTGCCTCAGCAGCGTCAATGCGAGCCCTCAGCTCTTGAAGAACAGAGAGGAGGGTCACTCATGCCTTTTCCACTCCTCCCCACTCCTCCCCACTCCTCCCCACTCCTCCCCACTCCCCTATCCCTTCCTCTCGTACCTACCGGGCCGACAGCAGGAAAGAGGATAAAGTGCCTTGGGACTCCCCCCTCCCCCTCTGCTTCAGCGTCCACTCTCAACACCTCACTCACCCCACCCCACCCCTCTCCACCCCTTCCCCTGTACGTACCGGGCCGACAGCAGGAGAGAGGATAAAGTGCCTTGGGACTCCCCCCTCTGCTTCAGCAGCGTCCACTTTCAACACCTCACTCACCCCTCCCCACCCCTCCCCACCCCTCTCCACCCCTTCCCCCGTACATACCGGGCCGACAGCAGGAGAGAGGATAAAGTGCCTTGGGAGTTTCCCCTCTGCTTCAGCAGCATCAATGCGAGCCCTTAACTCTTCAAGGACGGAGCGGAAGGTCACGCCTGAAGCACCCTGGTTGGGGAGTGGGGGGGGGGAGAGACAGAAAGAGGGACAGAGATGTGGAGAGGGGGGGGAGGTGTCTGCTTCAGCAGCATCGGCGCGAGCCCTTCAGTTCTGACAGGACGGGCGGGAAGGTCACGCCTTGAGCACCCTGGTTGGGGAAAGGAAGGGGAGTGGCAGGAAGGAAGGAGGAGGAAGACAATAAGAGGTGGTGCCTGTGGCAGCAGCATCAATGCGAGCCCTTAGCTCTTCAAGCACGGACGGGAAGGTCACGCCTGGAGCACCCTGGTTGGGAAATGAAAGAGCGGGGGATAGGAGGAAGGAGTGGGGAAGACAATAAGAGGTGGTGTCTGCTTCAGGGGCGGAGGACAGACACAGCAGCAGCAACGTGGGCCCTTAGCTTATCAAGGCGGGAAGGAAAGAACTTGGATCACCCTGGTTGCTGGGCGATGTGGTGAGAGGGGTGAAGAGAAGGTAAAGGGGGCGCACACACACAGACATCAGCAGCAGCAGCAGCAGCAGCAGCAGCAGCAGCAGCAGCAGCAGCAGCAGCAGCAGCAGCAGCAGCAGCAGCAGCAGCAGCAGCAGCAGCAGCAGCAGCAGCAGCGGCAGCAGCAGCAGCAGGAGCAGCGGTAACAGCAGCGACAATGTTGCCTAGCTCACTTCCCGCATTATCCCCGCCTTTCGTGCTCTCACCCACCTTGGTGTTTGGCGCCAGAGAGGGCGGATTGAAGCCCATGACAGCAACAGCATAGTGGGACTGAGAGAGGGCGTACTGGGGGGATAGAAGCAGGGGAACAAGAAGGAAGCATGTGGGTGGTTTTGTTTGCATACAGGTGGACGGATGACAATTGAAGCCCATCACAGCAACAGCGTAGTGTGACTGGGAGAGGGCGTACTGGAGGCATGGCAGGGGAAGTACTTAGGAAAGAGCAGCTAGGAGTGTATTTGCTGGGTGCTATGTGTTGTGTTCAATCAAGCCACCATTGGCTTGTTTGACTCACGTTGAATTGTATGACTCACCTTGACTTGCCTGACTCACCTTGACTTGCTTGACTCACCTTGACTTGCTTGACTCACCTTGACTTGCTTGACTCACCTTGACTTGTGCTGCCACGTAGGGAGCACTGAGGCCACAGCTGATTCCAATCTGTGACAAAAGAAAGATGCAGCGGCAGAGGAGGTTGTGTTGTGGGAGGAGAAAGCAGATCATCACTAGTGCGTTTCTGAACCACACACAATTCAGCAAAACCACACACAATTCAGCAAAACCACACACAATTCAGCAAAACCACACACAATTCAGCAAAACCACACACAATTCAGCAAAACCACACACAATTCAGCAAAACCACACACAATTCAGCAAAACCACACACAATTCAGCAAAACCACACACAATTCAGCAAAACCACACACAATTCAGCAAAACCACACACAATTCAGCAAAACCACACACAATTCAGCAAAACCACACACAATTCAGCAAAACCACACACAATTCAGCAAAACCACACACAATTCAGCAAAACCACACACAATTCAGCAAAACCACACACAATTCAGCAAAACCACACACAATTCAGCAAAACCACACACAATTCAGCAAAACCACACACAATTCAGCAAAACCACACACAATTCAGCAAAACCACACACAATTCAGCAAAACCACACACAATTCAGCAAAACCACACACAATTCAGCAAAACCACACACAATTCAGCAAAACCACACACAATTCAGCAAAACCACACACAATTCAGCAAAACCACACACAATTCAGCAAAACCACACACAATTCAGCAAAACCACACACAATTCAGCAAAACCACACACAATTCAGCAAAACCACACACAATTCAGCAAAACCACACACAATTCAGCAAAACCACACACAATTCAGCAAAACCACACACAATTCAGCAAAACCACACACAATTCAGCAAAACCACACACAATTCAGCAAAACCACACACAATTCAGCAAAACCACACACAATTCAGCAAAACCACACACAATTCAGCAAAACCACACACAATTCAGCAAAACCACACACAATTCAGCAAAACCACACACAATTCAGCAAAACCACACACAATTCAGCAAAACCACACACAATTCAGCAAAACCACACACAATTCAGCAAAACCACACACAATTCAGCAAAACCACACACAATTCAGCAAAACCACACACAATTCAGCAAAACCACACACAATTCAGCAAAACCACACACAATTCAGCAAAACCACACACAATTCAGCAAAACCACACACAATTCAGCAAAACCACACACAATTCAGCAAAACCACACACAATTCAGCAAAACCACACACAATTCAGCAAAACCACACACAATTCAGCAAAACCACACACAATTCAGCAAAACCACACACAATTCAGCAAAACCACACACAATTCAGCAAAACCACACACAATTCAGCAAAACCACACACAATTCAGCAAAACCACACACAATTCAGCAAAACCACACACAATTCAGCAAAACCACACACAATTCAGCAAAACCACACACAATTCAGCAAAACCACACACAATTCAGCAAAACCACACACAATTCAGCAAAACCACACACAATTCAGCAAAACCACACACAATTCAGCAAAACCACACACAATTCAGCAAAACCACACACAATTCAGCAAAACCACACACAATTCAGCAAAACCACACACAATTCAGCAAAACCACACACAATTCAGCAAAACCACACACAATTCAGCAAAACCACACACAATTCAGCAAAACCACACACAATTCAGCAAAACCACACACAATTCAGCAAAACCACACACAATTCAGCAAAACCACACACAATTCAGCAAAACCACACACAATTCAGCAAAACCACACACAATTCAGCAAAACCACACACAATTCAGCAAAACCACACACAATTCAGCAAAACCACACACAATTCAGCAAAACCACACACAATTCAGCAAAACCACACACAATTCAGCAAAACCACACACAATTCAGCAAAACCACACACAATTCAGCAAAACCACACACAATTCAGCAAAACCA